AAATCACACGAATGCTAGTAAGTAAAAGTTAAAGTTTTCATCTTTGAAACTCGATATTTCACACACAGTGGCTGTGTCAGTCAGTGATATCTTTCGATACATGACTGACTAGGCAGATTTTTCCCGCAGTAGGTTGCCATTTCTTTCTGCGGTAGACCAGTTGCCATCCAAGGTTACAGAACCCGGTCTGTCCTGCTATTTACCTATATCTGGGGCGGGAGAAGAAGAGGATTCATATCTTTCCTAAAGTAAATATAATGGATTCGACTGGAATTCGAACTCGGCTTCTTCGATTCCTCAATCCGAGCCGCTATCCACTACTCCTCCCTGTCATTTGTAACACATTCAAATGAGTTTTAGTTTTATATAGCGACGTTTTAGCCTATATTTTGTCTAGTAAGAAAAGATGCTGCAAAATATTTAGCCTGACTCGGAAGCTCTTAAAAACATTCTGATTCTTGGCTATTTGGTCAGATGTGTTTTAACAGAGGACGGAAAGTGTGACACTGAAATCCGAAGTCGTATTTGGATAGCTAAAAAGCAAGGAAAAGAGTACTAAACTGCTACGTAATATCCGCCGTTCTGTATAACAGTGGGAGCTGGACGATCTCCTCGAAGAGGAGACTTGAAGCAGCAGAAATGTGGTTCTATAGAAGGATGCTGAGGATACCATGGACCGAACATATGAAAAACGACGAAGTTTTGTAAAAAAAATGAAAACAAAAAGGAAACTAATACATAACATCAGGAAAAGAGTTCAGGTTTCTTGGGTACATAATGAAGAAGGACGGCTTGGAAAATCTGATACTCACAGGACAAATAGAGGGCAAGATGGACAGAGGAAAGCAATGCATAACATACTCGATGATCTTCATTAAATGAATGGCGGAACAGGGCTTAGGAGAAATAACAGAAAGGCAAAATTTTATAAAGAGATAAAAGGAACAGGATGTTGTGGAGAGCCATTATTCTCTATGTGTTGAGAGGACACAGTACATAAAGAAGAAGAAAGAAATTCAAAGGCAGGTAACTTTTCAGCATAGCCCTCAAATTAACAAACAAAAAGAAAAAGAAACTAGTGTCGATATTCACTGATGACATGCCAGATGTAACAGCAAAATTGTCCAAATCGTGTAATTGCAAAATTGTCTGTTTGTTAGATTAAGCTCTGAATCATTGCATCTTAGAAATGATTAAAGATAGCTTACTGGAATTCGTTGAGGTTTTTATAACACTATTGAACACTGCTTTGAGCAATAAGAATGTATAATTACTCTCCAGGCTTAACAGAAGATTCGTGATGAAATCGATATATATATATATATATAACTTGTACTACTGAAGTCCCTTTCTTCGATCATAATAACAATATATATATACAACGTGATGGTGTCTCCATGGGTTCAGTATTGGGCCCGACATTTAGCAATTTCTACATGTCGAACCTCGAAAATAAGTTATTTACAGATTTTAAAAAACCATCAATCTACCTAAGATACGTTGATGATATTCTTATGTTAGTTAAAAATACAGATGAAATAATTCAACTTCAAAAACGGTTCCAAAATAATTCTGTCCTTAAATTCACATATGAACTCAATACTAATAATAAAATCCCTTCCTTGACATATTGATAAACACAAATAATAACAAATTTACTATTTCGCCATACAAAAAAACCTACAAGCATAAATTCATGTACACTTAACTACAAGAGCGAATGCCCATATTACTACAAAATAGCAATTATAAAGAATCTAATACATCGTGCAGAAACTAATTCATCCACCAAACAGATTTTTACAGTGAACTAAAGAATATAAAACAGACACTTATTAATAATAGCTTTCAAACTATATAGTTGATGAACAAATAAGATGCTTTCTTAGAAATCTCAATAATAAGCAAATTGTACATAATACTGCTTCTACTGATCTCAAATATATTAATCTCCTATATCGTAATCAAATGCATACTAATTATAAACAAGATGAACACATACTAAAATTTTAGTAAATTCTAATATATCAACTACAGATCCTAGCAAAAAAATTAAATTAATCATATACTACACTAAATCTAGTATATCCAACTTAATACTTCGCAATGATTCTTCTCCCCCGGTTAGCGATTTGCAAAAAACCAACATAGTTTATAAATTCAAGTGCCCTTTGGGAGAGTGTATCTCCAACGAATTAAATAATATTTATGTTGGTCACACCACAAACTCGCTTTCACGACGCTTGACACTACATTTTAATGAAAACTCTAACATTTTTAGGCATTTAAAACAACATGCCTGCCCGCACACACAATTCCGTAAAACACAACTATACTTCGACATGAAAAAAACAATAGACAAAAAACTAAAAAATACTTGAAGCATTATACATCAAACAGTTAAAACCCAACCTAAACAAAATCAATTATAGAATCTCTACAAATATTCTTAAATGTCTATAATTTCTATAATTTGTAACAGAAGCCATTGGTTTATTATACCAACGGCTTTCCTTATTTCATTCTCCAATTCACTCTCGTGTAGTCATGTGTGACGTCATGAGATGCGGTGCGATTTTCGCTTCTAGCGTCTTATATGCGCGTGTTCATCGTTGCTTAGTGATCCACTATGTAAACTAAACAATGACAGACTATCATCACTGTCGTGTCCGTATATTGTTTGATATGTTTGTAATTACATCTTTGATAATGGCTTGAGTAAGCCGAAAGCTTAGATTATATTAAAAAATAATGGATAAATATTGTGAATTTCTTTTTTCGGTTAATGATAATGTTATCAAACTTATCAGAAGATACGAAAAAATTTTACATAAAATAGACAACACTTGTCTATATTATTTAATGAAACGTGTATATATATATATATATATATATATATATATATATATATATATATATTACCGTTATTTTCCAACTTATTCAAGATGATCTTCGCCCTCTCTAATCTTCTAACTTTTGTTCTGGTATGTTAAGTTGCCTCGCTGGTTTCACGTACGATTTCATTTTCAAGTCATTTTTCATTGTACCTTGGACTGTCATAGCTGAAACTCCTCTCTCATGTGCCAAACGTCTTATGGATTGAATTGGATCTTTTCTAATTGAATTCTTTAGCTCTGTTGAAATGATGATCCCTTTTCCTGATGTGACCTCCTGATCCAGGTTTCCTCTCTACTGTTCCTTCTTTTTAAAACTTATTCACCGATCTTTTGATGGTGCTTGAATGGACTTTGAAGATAGTAGTCAGAGTATGAATATTGGTAACATTACTGAAGGCCTCAATGATCTTTTGCCTCTCACCATTGTTCATTTGGGAAGACACTGGGGCTGACACAAAACGATTTTAATCTGTTCTCTTTCTAGCTAAATAAATCAAAAGGTTTTTCATTAATTTTTATGAGAAATGTATCAAGATGGCTACACGACTTATCTTAAAACCTGGAAAGAAGGAGCTCAATTAGTTTAATGGTTCTTAGATATTAAAAATTTTGTTGGGTGGATAATTATGCTGTTACAGGATTTGGACAATTTTGCTGTTACAGCGGGTATATAAAATCAATTTTTAGCCGTTCTTTTTTTTTATATAATAAATTTAAGATTTTTTTAAAGTTTGCTTAACTTTTGCTCAAGAATTAATACTAACTTGCTTACCGAATATATTCGATTGTAGTTCGAGGTTTTATGATCAGTTTTTTTCGTCAAAAATATAGGGGGTGCACTATACACATGTAATCTTTTTTAGGAGGTTGAAAATCATGCATTGTTGATGATCGATTGCACTATACAAAGATAATTTTTCTGGTGAGGTTAAAATTCGTGCAAAAAAATCTGGGATTGCACGATACACGAGGTCAGCTTATACATGAATATATTCGGTAAACAATTGTTTAATCTAATGTCTATATTATATCTATAATTCTCAAAATATGCATGTGTGTGTGTGATCGGATGTTGTTTATGCATTTCCATAGTTTTCTTACGATTTCAATGAAATTTTTTTGTTTGATAGGCAATTCTTCCGTGCCGGTTTTGAGTCCAAATTGTTGGTGACAATGGCTCTCCACTACTTCCTGTCACTTATAACTTTCCTACATAATGGTAAAACATTAGCTAGATGAAGACACTGTTGCCACTAATGTTTTGTCGTTATATGAGAGCTATTTCTGGAAGGTATTTGGGGGAGGTATTTCAGCCGCACTCTGTAGAAAAGAAAGACATTTCAGCGTAACAAAACTAGTATGATTGGTAGGTCTTTTGATTAAGGTATGAAATAAAGTATTTAGTACCATTTTCTTACTTAATTTTTGTCTTTTTTTCTTTACTTTTACTGGATTCTGCATATCTCATTCCATTTATTCCGCAGAGGAAGTTAATGAAATCAAGTTTATGGGTCTCTTCCTGTGGCAAGTCCACCTTAAACAAATTCACGTCATCGGCACTCTCTTCTACTCTGATTTTGCTTCGCATCTAACCAAATCTTGCAAAGCCAAACGGTGATAGGGAATGAATGACGGAATCAGGTTTTGGCGAAACTGGAATCTTCTAGTCATGATTCTGAACGTTGGCGGCGAATTTCGTCAACAACGCCATCATCATAAAGAAAGAGATCGGCAAAGAAGAAATTAAATTCTTGGATACGGGATAAAGCCGACATTTTCAGTTGCTTAGGCCCCATTAACGTCAGTGGAGTTGCTTAAGCTTTAGATAAATTTGAAGTACAGTTGCTTTATAAACGAGTTTCTTATTAAAAATCGTGTAATCGTCCTATATACGAAATTGACTGGACTTATGGTGAAAATTACACTGGAAATACCGATTTCAAATCGATCACCTAATTTAAGTTGTAATGCGCCTAATCAATAATTAAATAGATGAGTTTTTTTTTTTTTTTATAGAAACGCCAGGAACTATAAGCAAAACGAGGCTTTGTGTTATCTGCAGTCAAACTTAACTGCACATAAGATCGACTTATGCATGAGTACGTACGACAGATGAATGAACGACAGGAAGAAAATAGAAAGAGGAAACGGAAGGCAACATGAAAGGAGAAAGAAGGAAATGAAGGGGAAATGTCGAAAGAATGAAGCGTGAGAATGAAGAGAATGAAAAAAACAGAAGAAAAGTAAAAAAAAAGCGAGATATTATTATTATTATTATTATTATTATTATTATTATTAGTGGTAATAATAATAATAAATGCTGACAGAAAACCTTTATAAATGAATCAATTCCCGGCCCGGACAAAATAAGTTACCAAGAGCCCCCCCGCAAAAAAAAAAAAAAAGAAAAGGAAAGAAGGAGAAAGAAGAGGCCATCATAATAAGTCAATAGAAAGAAAGAGAGAAAAAACGTTGCTCCATCATGGACGTCTATTCAATCAAAACACTTGTTTGCCTGTCTTTCCGCTTTTCACATTAATACGAGACGAACTTATCGAGTTATTTTATTCGACTTTCGATTTCTCTGGCCCCCGGGATCAATACTAACTCTGAATGACAGCATTTTGATCCGAGGATCAAGCGTCATTTAATGTCTTTATTTTTTTTTTCACTTTTTTTTCGAGCCGCAAGTCCGAGACAATAATGAATACCTTACAGTGGCGTAGGTAGACTCACAGAGAAATGGCGATCTCACGAACTTTAGCACACACACACACACATCCACACGAATCTATGCATATATATTACAGTATATATGGAGTATGTATATCCATCTACAATAGTACACATATCTATGTATAAACAGGCACACTTAAATAATCAAATACAAATTAATAATATATATCTATGAATACACACACACACACACACACACACACACACACACACACACACACACACACACATATATATATATATATATATATATATGTGTGTAATTTAGATATAATGCTGTTCTATACTTATTGAAATTCGACTCAAAGTTTCGTAATTTTTCAATCAATCATTTATTTATTAAAAGGAATTCGGTTAAGCATTTTTATACGTTAAATTATACAATGTTGCCTATATTAATTCCCAGTATTAATAGAATATATATATATATATATATATATATATATATATATATATATATATAAAATGTATTCCTGGTAATAATGTATTGCTGGTAATAATTTTTTCATCAAAAATTTATTGCTAGTAATAATTTTTTACAAGGTATTTCTGGTATTAAAACCTATTTTTACACTTTCATAGTATTTTGACCTCCGTTTTGGGGGTTAACTATTTGCCTATATGCTTATCTGCCTATTGTTTATCATCTTACCCAGGACGCGGATGTAGTTTATCGTCATAACCAGGACGGTTGGCATCTCAGTCCCACCCTTTTACTGTCGAATCAGTTAAATTTAACCCCCTCTTCTACTCCAACAGTTTCTTCTCTCGCACTTCCCGACAGTGTAACTCCCTTCCTCTTACTTGCTTCCCTGATAACTATAATCTTCAACAATTTAAATGTAATATCAATCGACATCTGATGCCTTGATCTTGATCCCAGTTCTCCTTTTTATCCTTTTCTAAATCCCAACTCTTTTTTCTTACTTTTCACTCTCTGTAACCCCTTGAGTGCTATGGACACTCCCACCTTGCTTGGAGTGAAATGCTTAAAAAAATGGTACTGCTCTAGAAGTCAGTTGAATAAGCTGGCCTCTTCATCCATCGAGTGTTTTTAAAACACATTTTATTCGGATATTTATTAGTTTTCTACGCTAAACGTGATAGGGCCTGGTCCTACATAAACATGAAAACAAGAAAACATTTCTCTGAAAGCGCTTTGGCTTCATCTTGAAGCATGGATTTATCCATGTTTTTAAAAATCAATACCTGTCTGTGCTTTCATATTAACACTATCAGAAAGCTGACAAGGCCCCCATGACTTCACTATCTATATTCCCACCCTAAAAACATCGCAACACCTTCGCCTTGTTGATGTCTCAACTTGCAAGGTGTGGTTTCCGACAGTAGCCACCCTAACTTTTCTTGCTCCATCCGTCTCGTCCATCGAGACTAACATGGCATTCATCGGAGAAAAAAATAAGATGATTGAAATGTCTCTCTTCATCTATTCTGTTTTACATTTCACTCGATTTTCCTCATGAATTTCTTTTATCCCTGGTTGGTTTCATCGATTGATGTTTCATTGGAGCTCTGCGGATATCGTCAATTGATAAATTAAAACCTTTCCAGCGATACGAACACCATCCATTTATGATTCGAGTCTAAATGACTAAATTCCAGGATTCATTATGTTATTATTGGGTTGCGGCAAAAGTTCGTACCGCTTGTCAATAGGGGACGTTTGAACACTTGAATTCTTTTCACACTTGAATGAAATTTAGAGCACACATACATATTCTGAAAGGAGACGTTTCAATGAGTTTTTCTATACGATTTGCATGAAGATTGTGAGATGTGTATAGGGAAAAAATAAATGTATTTTCGTCATTTGATGATGTAAAAAATCACCAGTAAAAAAAAAAAAACTGTAAAAAGAGCAAGAAAGATATATGCCGTTTATGAAGATTGTGCCATAGCTGATAATGCTAAGTTGTTCGTTAGTTTCCGAAGTGGAAATTTTGGCTTGGAAAATCAAGAATGTTTTAGCAGGCCTACGAATTGAAATACTGATTAAAATAATACGCCACGCGATAGGAGATATTACCGAGAAAATCCACGTCTCATATTTGGATGCGTGAATAGTGACTGGTGGCTCACTTTTACAGAAGAAACAAATGGACCGCATATTATTCTGCGATCCAATTTCTTTTTAAAAGAACTTTCACATGTAATAAAAATGGATTGTTTACAATACTTTGAAGCGAAAAATGCCTTAGAGAAAACGAAATGTTGGTCTGCAGTCGAAAAAAAAATACAATGTCGAACTTTCACTTCAACCAAAATGAACTGATTAAAGGTAGCAATCAATGAAAATCATCCGGAAGTGGCCAATCGGAAGGGTATCAACTTCGAGCATGAAAACACCAGATCTTACGTCCCTTCGCGGACCCGGCAGAAAATTGGTACAACTTGCTGTGATATCTTACAACATACGCGGTACTCACCTGAACTTGCACCTTTCGACTGCCACTTATTTCAACCCCTACACAATTCTGGGCAAAAATTCAATTCTCTGAAAGTCTGCAAAAACGATTTAAACTATTTCATCACACAGAAAGATGCCATATTCTAGGAGAACTTGACTATGATGCTACCTCAAAGAGAGCGAAAAAGAGTGAAACAAAAAGACACATTTCTTCGAATAAATGTATATTGAAATATCTGAACAAACATGTGTGTGTGTGTGTGTGTGTGTGTGTGTGTGTGTGTGTGTGTGTGTGTGTGTTGGGTGCGTGGAGTTCTGAAAACTCCTTGACAGGACAACTGAAGGACCGAATAACTTTTCCCTTCATATAAACCCGTGCTTCTCTCTCCCCTATATATATATATATATATATATATATATATTAATCCAAACATTGTTTTTGGTTTGTACCTTTGTTTGAAATATAATTTCAAACAGTGTGCATTACGTCTACCGGCTTGTGCACTCGAGAAAACTTAAAAAAAAGAAAACAAAATGTGCACTTCGGCATTCCTTTTCAGGCCTTTTGATGTGGCCGAGCGGTCTAAAGCACGCGGAATATTACTCTGGAATGGTGGACGCAGGTTCGAACTCAGCTGGAGAGTACGTTTTAAAAAAAAAAAAACATTTATTTATATATATGTGTGTGAGAGAGATAGGTTCACGGTTTTTTGAGCAGCTATAGAAGTATATTTATCTCTTCTTCCCTGTTTAGGATTGGGTTCTTCACAGTTTTTATATATATAAATTATATATATATATATATATATATATATATATATATATATATATAATATATAAAACGAGATGCCAACCGTCCTGGTTATGACGATAAACTACATCCGCGTCCTGGGTAAGATGATAAACTACGTCCAACACCAAGGCTTTTGATCAAGAGCTTTTGAGGAGCATGGAACCACCTCTTAATTGCTGGTGTTCCCAGGTCCACCCTGACCCTGGGTGGTATCGCCTGTCAGGGTCCCAGATATGGGCAAATAGTTAACCCCAAAAACTGAAGTAAAATACTATGAAAGTGTAAAATATGTTTTAATACTAGAAATACCTTGTAAAAAAGTATTACTAGCAATAAATTTTTGATGAAAAAACTATTACCAACAATACATTATTACCAGCAATACATTTATAATATATATATATATATTTATGAATAAAAATGACAATAGGAAAACTGGTAATTGCTGACTCGTTTCGTCCAATGTGGACTTTATCAAAGCAAAATACGAATTTCGAAATTGGACGAAACGCGTCAACAATTACCAGTTTTCCTATTGTCATTTTTTATTCATAAATATTGTCTTCTACTGGTTAAATCAGAGAAATTTTCATATATATATATATATATATATATATATATATATATATATATATATATATATATATATAACCACCAATACATTTTTGAAAAAAAAAAATTACCTGGAATATATATATCAGAAATGCTTTGTAAAAAATTATTACCAGTAATAAATTTTTGAAGAAAAATTATTACCAGCAATACATTATTACCAGCAATACATGTTTGAAAAAAATATTATCAGCCATACAGTTTTGAAAAAAAAATATTACCAGCAAAAAAAATCCTGTCGGTATTAAATTACCCATTAAGGTTGTTATCCCGTAAAACAAATCAAACCAAACCAAACCAAGATGCCAAACTAGTAGCACGCTTAAATTCATGAAGTCTAGACCGGTAGGTTTATATGGACGGACGGAAATCTACTAGCAAAGATGATTCTTAGAAAGTTGTACTTCGTACTTTGCAGTTTTTTTGTTTTTGTTTTTTTTTCAAAGAGAAGAAATATACGAATGATTTTCAATACTACTTTTACTACATGTACGTTCCACAACAAATGTGCTTTTTGGTCTTCATTGCAACGAAACTATTTTCAACTTTCCTTCCAAGATCTTTCTTTGTAAACATTTCACACATTCTCAAA